CTGCATGCACAGCCGAGAGAAGCTTTTTGAGCTGCATCAATGGTCATAAATGTGATCAGCTGTGTCTTGCACTCTGCATTTTGACATATTATTTGCTGGCTTTGCAAATCATTTGGCATATCAAATTCTCCTTTAAACGAGATCTTTAACTTACTTCGCCCCCTCTCATCTCCTCCAGCTTGTGTCTTTTTGAAGCTTCTGAAAACATGCCACCTCATCTCTTGTTTTTGTTTTATGTTTTTTTTTTTTTTTATTAAAACTTTCAAATATAATTTTTAGTACATTTTACTGGTCTGCTGTATTCTTCTACGATGGCTCCTTTAAGAAGTTGTGAGTTCATGTCTGAGGTTCCTAATGTGTCCTCACTCCACTCCCTGGGCAGATGTATAGTCTCGATTTGTTTTTATGTTATAGTTTATGTTTTCTCTTACTGGTTGGCAGATTTCAGAAAACTAGCTATCAGACATTTCTGAGGGATTATGAGCTGTGGAAGGAACAATTTCCATAAATGTGCACATTTCATAGTTGGAATGATCATTTCAAACTCACATATTACATATTTCATATTATTTATTTATTTATTTTTCCAATGAAGGAGGGAAAATCAGGGTGGCTCCAGTGGCTGATCAGATGGGTGCTGTTCAGCTAGTTTTTACAGTATTACAGTTTCTTTGTAAGTATTTTCCAGATTTGGAATGGCTTTCCATTATATATGAATAATATCTCCCTGCTGAAATCAAAAGTGTCATTTGGCTTAGCCTCTTAATGTGTGTCTGTCTGTTCCCAGCTTGTGTTTCTCATTCTTGACTTAATGTATTCATCTTTGCTTTGTGCTTTCTTGTGTGCCTTCCCATCTGGTTTATAGAGTCCTGTCTATCCTGCATTTATAGCTTTTATTGGCTTTCTTGTGGGAAAACAACATATTCAGGAACAACAGACTGATTTTCTAAGATGGTGAAAAATATTTGTGTGAATGACGCCTGCAACAAGAATAAAAATCTACAGCCTTGTCAACCGTGTCCCATTTATACTGGTCCCAGGAAACTGCGATGTTTCAGACCAGAAAGCAAAACTGTCATGAACAAATGAAAAATCATGAAACATCCACACGGATGACAAAGTGAAGAAGAAAATCAATACAAAACATCCTTGTAATGGTTAGAAAAGTAGCTGCCAGATTTGTACAATGCTGTGCTGATACAGAAACTGCAATACATATA